TACATAACCAGAACACACTGCATGCTTGACTGACGACAAATATTTTTATTTTCTTTGCCATAACAAAGAATTAATAATGCAGAGTTTATTTTATCTATTATAGGGGGAACAGGACTGGAGATGTGTAGTATCCATCTTTTATGCTCTATATGCAATACTCTCTCAGATCCATGAGTAGCTTTATTTTTTTTTTTATGATAAATGAAGTGCACTTTGTGCAGCCTGTTGCAACCATTAGAGCTAAAGTTTCCCATGCTCCCAAGCCCCCTAGGGAGTGACAGGAACAGATGTGACGTCTATACTCCCCCTCTCTGTCTGTCCCTCCTAACCTCAGTCTCTCTATCTGCTGCTTGTAAAACAATACATCCTCCACTTGTAAAAACGTTACTTTCTACTTGCATCATCTCTTCCCATTGATCTCATTTCAAACAACACAAAAACAAAGTTATCCCTAATTTTGTAATGTGATAATTGCAGCCAGTACTAATTTATGGTTAAATGTAATTCAGGATCGGTACCATGATCTAATAAGGGCCCTTCAATCTGTCATTGCATTTTGTTCCAAATATTCCTTCTCAACTAACGCATACACTAAATGCACACACTGACAGGAATACACACACAGAACAGAAACTGCTGGATCAACAAATGAGACTTTGAACATATTTCTCTCAAAGATATAAAATTAAATAATGAAAGGGAAAAGTAATTTGGAATTAGTACACTTCTAATATGTGACATTTCCCCAGTACTTTTCATTTGTATCTCTTGGCAAGTCAACTGAAATGACTTTTGTTTTATGATTAATCACCTGAGCAACAACACCCTCATCTGGTGGTGTTTTCAAAACCTTTAAGTCATATTATCTTTATATGAAATAGCACTTTTTTACAGCAAAAACACAGGGTGATTAATTACCTTAATGCATTCAGTTTAGGTGTACCAGTCACAGTCCTTTTAGGTGCATGTTGGTTCACAAATGAAGCCGTTGTTAATGTTATTAGTGAAATCAACTACAAATCAAAATGTTTACTGGGGAAAGGCCAGTGCATCAGTAATACATCAGTAATACAGTATCAAATAAAATAATATAACACTGACAGGGGACATTCTGCTGCTTAATGAGCCTGTTTTTGTCACCTAAATTACATTTCACTCATAGTAATACTGTACTTTTACTTACTGTAACTAACATATTGAATTAGGTACTTTTACTTGTAAATGAGTCTTTTCAGACTATTGCTTTCTAACTTAGCAAAGGATTTGAAAACTTTTACCACCATTGATCATATGTAAGCTTCGAAAAGACTGCATCCATAATCATATGAGATACAAATCTGTCACGCACTTTTGTAAAAAGACAAATGGAGAGACTGAGGCATACATCAGTTTACAAGGATGGGTTTCTTGTACAAGCAGTCATATCTCATACTTGAAAACTGCTTTTTTATGAGAAGATTTTAGAGATTCTTTAATAGAGGGTGCTCTACTATCAAACTAATCTTTGCATCCTGTATTGTAAAACCAGGCCCACACCTGTCCACACAATCTTTTCTATCACTCTGTTAACCACAAATGTGTGTGTTTGTGTGTGCGAGAGAGAGAAATAAGAGGGGAAAGACAAGGAGGACATGACTCCTAACTTTTTTATTCCCTACTCTGACTACTTATAAATGATCTCTCTGTGCTGGACTCCTATCTCAGTCATCGCCCATCTGTCAAATTTGACAGCTGAGCACAAGCATACGTGCCTCAGCAGGGATGAACTGACTCCAGGGCTTTTATTCAGAGACCCTGTGCCATTAAGAAAGAACCACAGGTCTCAGGCTGATAGTCAGGGGCTTATCGTAAGTTTAGGCAGTGGTTAACCAAACATTAACCGCTCTCCTGGCTTTCCTGTAAACATCGCCTTAATGATAGGGTAGCCAAAATCTCTGAGGACAAACACTGTCAGTGTCACACACAATGTACGTATACCCACAGGAAGTGATGTAGGCCATAGATATTGCTGATTGGAAAAGGTGATGACATCTGCACAGTGAACTTTGAAGCACAACTAATCACTTTTCAGTTTTTCATATAAACATGTAACTTGTAACATGTATTTTAACTGAAATATCTTTTAGCATTTCCCTTTTTGCATGAAGAGGACAAGACAAGGGGTTTTGGGTGTAAACGTGTAGGTCTGTTCCAACCTGCCCCATGGCCCATAGTCTCCAGATACAGTCTAGTGGGAGGGTAGGTTTCGACTGACATGTCTGAGCAAATGTAGAGGAAAAAGGAGGTGTGTGTGAACAAGACAGTGTGTGGTTTCTGTCATTTGTGTTATTTGACCACAACTGCTCAAGATGCCATCACCTCTGGAACAAACGGTCATGACATTGTGCAAGTACATTATACAAATATTGTATGTCACATAGCTCAGGGCATCAATCTGATGATTAGATTAGTGATTGCACAGAAAGTTAGTAATGTATTACAAAGGTTGAACACATTAAAGTATGTAAATATCACTGAATATTTAAAAGATTGTATACACACTCCTAGACCAATATATTTAGAATAAAACATCAGCATGCAAGAGTAAGGCTACAATATTGAAATAAATCAAAAACAAATCCCAAATATCCATAACATTCCTTCATTTTTCAATATTTAGACATAAGTCCAAGAAAAATGCATGCTGTTTTTAAGTATACGCACAGGCATCAAAATTCTAATTCAATTCAAATTATATTTGTATAGCACAAAATCACAACAAAAGTCATCTCAGGACTCTTTACAATTGTCAGGTCTAGATGTTACTATTATTATTATTATTATCGTTATTGAGGGAAAACCTAACAAATCCCCCTTGAGCAGCATTTGGTGACAGCGGGGAGGAAAAACTCCCTTTAACGGAAGAAACCTCCGACAGACCCCGGCTCTTGGTGGGAGGCCTTCTGCCTCGACCAGTTGGGGTGAGTGGATAGAGCAGAGAGAAAAGAAAAGAAACAAAACACAACAAACACAACAACAACAAACAATCAAACACTGGGCAGGTTGATGTAGCCTGTGACTGTTCATCAGAAATATAAAGCTCCAGAGCCAGGGCAACCTGCAGAAAGGTACAGGGAGAGAAAGACAGAGAGAGAGAGGGCACACTACGGGAGAGAGGAGACACAAAGTTAGTGATCTGTAATAGCGGAATATAGAGGCGAGGCAAGGAGAGGAGAGGAGAGGAGAGGAGAGGAGAGCAAGGGAACTCAGAGCATCATGCCCAAGATACAATGGAGGTTAACAAATGCAAGCACCAGTTTTTCATCATCACTTTCCATCCATCCATCCATTTTCCTCCACTTATCCGGAACCGGGTCGCGGGGTAGCAATCTAAGCAGAGATGCCCAGACTTCCCTCTCTCCAGACACTTCTTCCAGCTCCTCTGGGGGAATGCCGTGGCGTTCCCAGGCCAGCCGAGAGACATAGTCCCTCCAGCTTGTCCTGGGTCTTCCCCGGGGCCTCCTCCCGGTGGGACATGCCCGGAACACCTCCCTAGAAAGGCACCCAGGAGGCATCCGAAACAGATGCCCGAGCCACCTCAGCTGGCTCCTCTCGATGTGGAGGAGCAGCAGTTCTACTCTGAGCTCCTCCCGGGTGACTGAGCTCCTCACCCTATCTCTAAGAGTGCGTCCGGCCGCCCTGCAGAGGAAGCTCATTTCGGCTGTCTGTATCCGGGTTCTTGCTCTTTCGGTCATGACCCAAAGCTCATGACCATAGCATCACTTTGAAATAGGCTATTCCTGACTTTGGCCATATTGTGCAGACGAATGAAAGCTGTTCTAGAGACTTGGTTTATGTGTGATTTAAAGGATACCCTGATTAAAAAGGATTCCAAGGTTCCTCGCAGCAGTACTGGAGGCTAGAGCTATGTCATCTAGAGTAACTATATGGTTAGATAGCATATTTTTAAGGTTTTCAGACCCAAGTACACTAATGCCAGTTTGTTAAAGTTTAGAAGTAGGGCTTGAGTACTAACAAAATATACACATACAGAACAAAATTGACATTTATGTACCATCTTTTTAAGATAAGGATTGTATATCTGATTCAGTTCTTCCATTCCATTATTTAAAAATGTATTCAGAAAACACAAAGGCATTATCAAGAACGTATCCTCAGTTTTAACCAAATCTAAATCTGGAACGTGAGCATTTTTAAGAAAGGTTTGTTTCACATCATAATATAAAGGACAGCAGATAATAAAATGAATTCATGTGATTCGCTGTATTCACAGATTCTATCATTCTCATCCACCCCTCTGTAATAGTTTCTATTCCGATATGACTGTCACATTCCCAGCTCTATATCTTCTTTAACTGCTGAAACAGATGCATACTGTATTTATAAACACTCAATCTATTGCTGTTCTTTTTTAGGCAGTGGTGAAAAGCTGAGCTTTCTGAACACACTGCCAGACTATATACTTTATAATATCCAGTATAGTCACAATGCAATATGTTGCAAGACTGATTAGCAATACATCAAAATATTTTAAAGAACATCTGAGGTTTTATTTAATCTCACTAACATGTCTCACCTTCAGCAAGATAGTGGATGATACAGTATATAGATAACAGCATAGTGCCTCCCAGTGGATGAATGCAGGGCCCACATTGCATGCACTCTAATGTTGCTGTTTATATGATTGCTTGTTGACTGCTTTTGTGGGAATATAATGCATTTCATAGGTATCTATCTATCTATAATCACTATTGTGATTATCAGTATCACTTTAGTGATCATTGATTATATTTCAAAAGTTATTACTTGAGAAACATTGTGCATTACAAGCATTTATAACTGTATCATATAATACTTATAATTTTAGGGCACACTGTTGCAAATTACTGCCTTAAATGACTGATCTAATACTTGAATGCGCACACATAAGCTACTGTAAATACACAAAATCGACCTTTAAGAAGTCCCGCCCTCGTACCGTGATGACGCAATCGTTGTTTGGCCTGTGACGCTGCTTGTACACGTAGCCTAGTAGGATGTGTTCATTGAAGATGGTGGCTGTGTGTCAGACTCACTGTCCTGCACATTTGTAAGAATTTATTTATATGTGTACACATTTCCGACATCTGGTAAGAGTAAATATATACTATCATTAACAATGTTTTACTTTTAATGTTCTAACCTAGTTTCCATAAACGATATGAAACTGTTATCCCTTTAGTTAGCTTAGGCTAGTTAGCTAGCAATGCTAACGCTAACTGATCAGTAAACCTTCTAAATTATACTCAACGAGTGGACAGCGACCTGTAGCTGCTTGGTTTTTACCCTTGTCAATGTTGGACATATACAAAAAGGGTATGTCATACGTTTTCGGGCGGTTTTTAAAAGTTCGGGCTTCGGCAAAACCAGGCGACTTTGCATAACAGTGTTTTGCTGGGTATGATGTTGAGGATACGAAGTGCATTGTAGCGTTTCCGTTAGGCGTTTAGCATAAGCCCCGTGGACCTTTCCTCTTTAGGCAGCTTAATGTGTAACTTCAGCTTAATGTGGTGCCAAACCAAAGGCACTTAGCTAACAAACCTATTTCAACAAGATCAGAAGATTAGTAGGTTTAGCTTTGTGAGTTTATTTTTATATTGACTGTCGGCGTTGCTAACGTTAGCTGACAGGTTTGCTACATTTCTAACCCGGTGCGCGTGATCACGTTGGAAGAGCTAACATTTGTCCAAGACTTGCCTACTAGCTCGGTCTGTTATTGATATCTGTATCTAATATTTTAACTACTAAATGTCAGACCGTGTTAGTTCTCCTGAGCCTCCCACCGACAAATACACTGTCTGTACCAGATAGTTAAAATAATCTCAACCATTCGCACTTGGCGATTTTACGATTCTCAGTTTTGCATTACTTATACCTTTATGAAAGTCCTGCCAAAAGCAATAAAGATGCACATATGTAAACACATATGTTGTTTAACACTTCTTCGTTGACAGTTCCATCATCCAGTTCCTGCTTAGAAAGATTAAATAATTAGATCGGCGCTCCCTTTATCTTAATCTAAATCTAATCAACTATGAATTGTGATGGGATTTTGCAATCTGGTTTCTAGAAGTAATCACATTGACAACTATCTTTTGGCAAAAGCTGCCTTTAATCCCCAAAACCAGGTGCTTTTCCTCATAGAATTAAAGAAAAGTTAGCATCTGTTTGTTTCCTTGATTACATTTCTTTTATGTTTGAGTAAATTAAGCTTTGAAAATCATTTAACACTTGTGTGTCATGTAGTCAAAGTTACATTAATTACAGTTGGTCAGCTGTGTTATACTCAATATAGTACCGTCAGTCTTTATTTGTAATGCCATTTTAGTGCTCATGTAGAAATTGCCACGTTGTACCATATATTTAAATAGGATTAGAGAATATTACATAAAAGAGGGTGTGGTAAAGTCCATTAAAGAGGCATGTGTGGCCTTTTGTTAACCACTCCCTCTTTCCTTTTCTTTACCCAGGTTCGCCTGACTTCAGTCTCTTCAGTGACATCTAGAGTGACCTGGTCTTCAGAGCTGTTAGCTGTGCAGCCATGCAGTCCCCACCACGGACTGGCCCTCCAGGAGCTTCTGGCCCTTCTCCATCTGGGCCCAATATGTTCCGCAGAACAAGGCCTTACAAGCATACAGCAGCAGCTACTGCCACAGGCCCACCTGCTACTCAACCCATGACAACCCCTTTCATGTTTTCTAGAGCTCCTCCTCCTATGGCTGCAGGTGGTCTCGGAACAATACCGAACAGCAACCCTCCACCCATGCAAGCCCCACCTAACACCATGTACTCTCAGGCTGACACAGGGCTGCCTCCACAACCACAGACACTGGAGAATATCCCAGTGGCTCCGCTTGGTCCCGTACCACCCTCTTTGTCAGGGGTTACCCTATTTAACCCTCACACTACACCATCCCCTGGTGTTTTCCAACAACCAAGTCCCATGGCATATGCACCTTCCCAGTCTGAACAGGGATGTTTTAATTCACGTGAACAGACAAAATCAATGGCCACAGAGCCACCACCTGTGGCCTCGGCACCAACACCTAGTAACACACCTTCTCAACCTGGGCTCTTCCAGCCTGTGCCTCCCATCACCTCCTCTACTCAGTGGGTCCCTGATCACGGAAGCCGGCCTCCATCAGTTCAGAACTACTTCCAACCTACAAGTAACCCTACACTGCAGCCTTTTAACATATCTCCACAGACCCAGGTGTATCCTTCCCACACACCATCGCCCCATCACAGCAACCCCAACCTTCCAACAGAACCTGGACATGCCCAGATTCAGGCTCCTCTTCCTCCCCAGAACCCTGTAAAAACCCCTAGTTCTCACTGGCCAGACCCAAATGCACCTCAGCAACATACTTTACAAACTCAGAGCTATTTTAGTCAGAGCCCTGCCCCCCAGGACTCATGGTTCATCCCACCTCCACAGGACTCAAGCTACCATCAAATGAGGACTAGCTTGAGCCATCCTCAGTCTCAGCCTGACTCAGCTGGATCTCAGCATCCGTCTAACACAGGTCCTGGGCCTAGTCCTGCCCCAGTCCCTTACCCCCAGGATTCTGGTACACTATCACTGTTCTTCAAAAACAGTGATGTGGAAAATGAGGAAACACTGGCTGAAGAGAGAAATAAGGCAGTGAATGGTATCCCTGGATCATTTCAGCATCACAGCAACCCACAAGCCCACAGTGGCCATGGAGATGTTCCTCTGGATTATCAAGGAGTTCCTCTTCAAGATCATTCACATGTACCATACATTAATGATGGCAGTGATGCATCACAGGGAGGTATCCAGAAGCTCTCTGATTCCCATTATGATCATGTGGAGAATTTGGAATGTGTCCCAAACCAGGAAGTATTGCCTAGTGAAACGCATGGGGGCCCTCTTGCTACTGCAGCCCATGCATCCCAGTTTGAAACTGGGCCTAACCTGGAGACTCCAGATTCTATTCCAAGACCAATGAGGTCTGCCAGTGTATCATCCAACTATAGCAATATGAGCCATGGAAGTGGAACTGGCACTCGTAGGCAGAAGGGAGTAGTAGGTACATTTATTCAGCAAGAAAGCCCTCATCTCACTGATGATGTTAATGTGTCGGCTACTCCTGGAGGCTACTTTGAGCAGATTGACACTTCTCCAGCTGGAGATTTGGGTGCACAAGAAAGTTCCCCAGAGCAGATGTGGCCTCCCACATCTAGCCCCCCCAAACCAACAGGTATCTTTCAGGCTAGTGCTAACAGCTCTTTTGAACCTGTTCGTTCGCATGGGGTTGGGGTGCGTCCACCTGAAGTTGACGTGGCTAAAATTGTAGCAGAAGGGGGTGCAGATTCTACACCTGGCAACCTGGAGCTGCCGCCCGATAATATGGAAAATATTTATGGCCCAAGCCACCCTTTGCCTGCTGGAGCTGGAGGTGGGGTACCTCATCTGTCTCACCCGGTGGTTCATTCTCACTCACGACCTTCATCCCGTGCTTATGGGCCCAGTCGGCCCTGTGAAAGCCCTGCTGCTACTCTGTGGGCTCAGAATGATGCTACTAGCTTGGGCTCTAATATCCTCCTAGCCCCTGCTGCCCCGACAGTTCTTGCCCCTCTGCGAAAGCCAAGTGCTGATGTCATCCAACCCCCAGAGGATGGACCACTGGACCTCCAGCCCTACCAGAGAGTCCAACCAACTTCACAGCAGCATTCAGAGAACTTAGAGAACCCACCAAACGTGAGTGAGGCAGAGCCAACTGATTCTCAAGGCAACCTGGGATATGCATCTCTCCTGGTATCTGACTCACTCCACCAGTCTGTTTTGATTGCCCCGCCTGTGTCAAATTACAGTGTGATTCCTCCCGATAATCTTGCTCAAGCAGTCAGTCAAAGTAGTCTTAAGGAAACTACCCCACCTCTGAAATCACTCACACAGGGGCAGGGTACCAGTAGCTCCCAACCACCTTCAGTAACTCCTAATCTGAATCCACTGTTTTCCCCAGGACCAATAAACTTGACTTCTTTAACCTCTAGCCAGGGTCCGCTCAATCTGACTCGAGACAACACAGAGGCATCAACATCAGAAATCATAGCTCCACTGCAATCTCAGCCAGTCCTCCCTCCTCTTTCAAGGGGCCAGTCATCGGGTGGAGACAGCCACTCTGCTCTCCATGTTCATCCACACACTTCTCTTGTGATTACTCCTGTCTCTAATCATAATCATCCGTCCAATTATGAACTGCTTGATTTTTGTATGCACCAATCACAAACCCAAAATCAAGCATTTGGTCATCCCTCCTCTCTGCATGAGTCTCCACAGTCTAGTAATGGATTTTACCTACAGGTCACCAAAGATGCTCAGCAGGGGGTTAGAATGGAAGGGAAGGCCCCAGTCCAGACGCCAGCCTCTTCATCTACCCCACATGTACAGTCACCACCCTCCCAAGCAGCTGCAAACACCCAGCCGCCACCAACCAAACCTCCTAAGACATCAGATTCTCAGGCGTTACTGCCGGCAAAAGGTGATGCCCCTCCTGTTCCAGTGAGTGAAGGAGAACCGTCCTCTGGCCAGTATCCAATCCCAGCTCAGGGGCCTGCTGCAAGGAGTGCTCCTCCTGCTGTTCCTGTAGCAGCCTACCCTCCAGGGCCTGAAGGACCAGTACCTCCAGGAGGTTCCCAGCCAGCACCTGCACAGCCACCTCGACCTTCCTCTGTCGGCGGCCAGCAAGGCTACGGTCCTCCTCCTCCAGTGTCGGGGCAGATGTATAGTGGCTATTATGGTAATTATGGAGAATACTACGATAGCAGAGCACCTTATCCTCCTGGCCAGTACCCACAACCACCTGGGGATCCTAGAGCACAGCAATATTATCAAGTATGTGGGAAGTCTTTTTTTCTTGTTAATGTATTCATCTTTGGCTTTTTTGAAAATTTGTTTTAAAAAAAATCAGTGAGAAGATTGTGCATCAGCTGCCATGACATGAAAAAAGTGAACACATATACATATGGTTTTATCTCTCAGGATGCTCAATACAGGAGCAGAACAGATCCTTGGTATGGCAGATATGATGGGCAGGCCCCAGCTTATCGTGATCCATACTACCAGTATAGAGAGCCTCAGCCAGACCGACCCAGCTCCCAGGCTAGTCAGAGCTCTGACAGGCCCTCATCCAGGTCAGTCGCACTGTTTATTAGTCATACACCCTCATTTACATGGATGCAATGTGTTTAAAGTCATACAATTTGATTTCATTTCAGTTGGTTATTTCTTCAGGCAGTTTTTAAAGTCTATCAAGTTTGCTTAGAAGGTTCTGTACTTGACCAGCAATTCTCACCTTTTGTTCACTTTCTATTCTAGACAAGGCTATCCTGATGACTACCACAGAGCAAACCCAAGTGCTTATAGTGAATATTATCCAGATTACACCAAGAACTACGATTACAGAGGTAGGATGTGCAGAGTTGAAAGCTGTGGTTACTTATTGATATGGATTTGAAGCATTTTGCCTTCTTCACTAAATGTTTTGTAATATTTCTTCACAGAACTTATTCATCCTTTTGTGGATATAAATGTTTTTGATATGAAATTCTCTCTCTTCTTCTCCATATTTTCTGTGGAAAGGATACCCCTATGGACAATATGACCCACGATACAGAGGATACTATGATCAATCCTACTGGTCTAATTACGACAGCAGCTACAGAGGCAGAGACAACTATTATAATCAACAAATGTATCCTGCCAGGTATGCAGAGAAAAATGCTTTCACAGTCTATGTTGGGCATGTAAATGAAATAGTTTTATTTACACACACTGTGCACTCCACTCACAGAAAGGACGGCTATGATGACCAGTGGCGGTACTATCCTGGGTATGATCCCAGTTTTGATGATGATTATCATCGACGTGAGGAAATGTATGGCGATGATTTCGACCGACGCAGCGTCCACAGTGAGCAGTCGGCCCACAGTGTGCACAGCTCTCACAGCCACCACAGCAGACGAAGCAGCTTCAGTTCACATTCACAGCAGGTAACAAATTTTTCTTGTATGCATGTTTTAGATCGTGGTGGTGCAGCTGCTACTTGATACCAGCATTCATGGTACATTATTAAACTCATAAATAAAACACATAACCTCTTGTCCTGAAACCAGTCAGGACAGTGATGTTGTTTTGTTGTCTCACTTGATGAATCTGCTTGTACTGTGATCTTGGGAGTTATACCACAATCCTAAATGTTTGACCAGCCTTATATTAACAGAGAAGAGAGTGATATTGGTATTCTCATTTATCTGTCAGCAAGACATTGAGTATTTTGTTGATTTAAGGAATGCAGCTAATTCTGCTAACTTGCATGAGTTTTTAATTTAATTAACTGGTTGTCATTGGTTTTAAAATGCCTTTATCTTACAATATGCTTGTTTGCTTTTATATGATCTGTGTTTGTCTTCACTTCTTGCAGAGCCAGGCATACAGGAGCCAGCCTGACTTGGTGTCAGCAGCTTATGACAACACAGCACCTACTCTGGCTGTGGACTACTCTTATGGGCAGTACCCAAACCCAGCTGATGCTTCCCAAAACTACAGCCAGTACCTCTATCCCTCAGAGTACACTGCAGACAGCACCTGGGTCGCACCTGAACAACGTAAAAAGACATTCCTCATTTTTAAGACACTTGAATTTTCAAGCATGAGCAATTACTAAATGCTAAGCAGAAGTTCACTCACATACTCCTGACTTATTTTTCCTCTAGCGCCCCCTCGTCCTGCAACCCCAGAGAAATTCACCATGCCCCACCGTTGTGCCCGGTTTGGACCTGGTGGTCAACTGGTCCAAGTTCTGCCCAATCTACCTTCAGCTGGACAGCCTGCTCTCGTTGATATACATAACATAGAGGTGCATTTTTATCTGATTACATTTCTTTGTCTCAATGTAGTTTTTGATATTTTTGTCTACTGTGCTGTAAAAGGAATATTAGATTGATGGATAAGAAATAGCAAGAAGGGATTAAAGCATAGTATTCTATTGTTTTATTTTGATGTCATAAGTTGTGAAGTATCAGTGGTTTAGTTTATACACCGTAAAAAAACAGAACAGAGTAGAATTCCCATAAAGTACAGGCCTGTCCTAAAATGTTACAGATTCACAGGTTTAAAAAGATTATTACTCTGGGTTGGATAAATCTGGATTGTAAATGGTCTGATGGAAGCTGAAATGGTAGGAACAGTAAATTATTTAAAATCGCACTTTACACTTGAAAACTAGTGCTTTATTGAAGGGAACAAAAAAACCAAACTCCTTGTTACCGATTAAAAATATGCATGACAGTAAAATTTTGCACCCTAATGCCTTCCTCAGACTTATGAAAATATGTTAGAACCAAATATGATAGCATTCCCTGTGTGCTTCATTCTTCTTTCAGTATAGTTGAGCAGTAGCAGTTGCACAATGTTAAGGCTAAGGTAGTATTTCAAACCACATTTGTACTTGCAGACCATGCTGCAGGATACCACAGATCAGGCAGAACTACGAGCCTTCCCTGGACCGCTTCTTAAGTAAGTGCGATTTATGTCATGAGATTTGTTGTCAGAAAATTGCCAGACTTATCCTTTAACTCTTTCTCAATATTAATTTGAAAAGACACTGCTAATAAGCCACATTTCTTGTCTGCTATCCATCAGAGAAGAGACCCATAAGGTGGATGTGATAAAGTTTTCCCACAACAAAGCGCTGGAGTGTTCTCGTGACAACAATCTCTTGGACAGGGACTCTGCCCGTTTGCTCTGGGACTTCATTGTGCTGCTCTGTAGACAGAATGGGGTATGTCAGTGCACATGTAACACAGAATTGAAAGCAGGAGATTGACTTTGTATATTTGCTGAAACAACAATTTTATGTTCTTACTCTGTTTCCTAAGACTGTGGTAGGCACGGACATCGCTGACCTTTTGTTGAAAGAGCATCGCTCTGTTTGGTTACCGGGCAAAAGTCCTAATGAAGCCAACCTGATTGATTTTAACAATGAACCACTGGCAAGAGCTGAGGAGGAGCCTGGAGCAGGACCACTCTCCCTCCTATCTGACACCTTCATGACGGTTCCAGAGAACATTGGCAAGGAAACAGAGCGCTTCAGGGAGCTGCTGCTGTTTGGTCGCAAGAAGGTAAGGAATATCCTCTTTAAGTCTAATGTTGTCGTTTAACTATTTTTAAAATCTGAAACGAGTTCTACTTTGTGTGTTGAACAGGATGCACTAGAAGCAGCTATGAAGGTAGGTCTCTGGGGCCACGCCTTGCTGTTGGCCAGTAAGATGGACAACAGGACACACGCACGTGTCATGACAAGGTAAAGTACCAGAGATATAAAAGGCTGTGACTCATAGTTGAACCTTTATTTTTTTATTGTTTTTACAGATTTATACATGTAACATTTGTCTGTCTATGTGGTTTAGGTTTGCCAACAGTTTGCCCATCAATGACCCTCTGCAAACAGTGTACCAGCTGATGTCAGGAAGGATGCCTGCATCAGCCACTGTGAGAACTGCATTGAATTTTCTCTCATTAACCTCGTTATTATTCTGAAGTGATACAGGCAATGTGTTTTCAGGTATGCAGTCTTTGATGTCTTTTGTTGCCACTGTAGCTGAGCTGTGTCTTGCGATTATGTAGTGCTGCGGAGAGGAGAAGTGGGGTGATTGGCGTCCTCACCTGGCCATGGTGCTGTCTAACCTTACACACACCCTGGATCTGGACACTCGCACAATCACGACCATGGGTGACACTCTTGGTAGGATGGCCTCGAAAACACCGTAACTCACAGCACTGATTTAAACAGCATTTACATTTTTCACCACAACAGACTCAACAGACCTCACATTCTGTCTCCACTCATTTTGTGCCATGGCAGCTTCCAAAGGGCTGATTGATGCTGCACACTTCTGCTATTTGATGGCTCAAGTTGGTCTGGGGGTTTTCACAAAGAAAAGCACCAAGATGGTTCTGATTGGCTCCAACCACAGGTTAGAGACAGACAAACACATGAACATTGTTGAAATGACTTTTGTATATCACCTTACAGTTAGCAGAAAAATGCCAAACATATAACTATGTCTTTGTCTCCTCACTCAGTCTCCCCTTTTACCAATTTGCAACCAATGAAGCGATTCAGAGGACTGAGGCCTATGAGTATGCTCAGTCTCTAGGCTCCCAGCCCTGCTTACTGCCCAATTTCCAGGTAGGTTGTTATTTTATATTTACTGATAATCAAATAAACTAATAATTGCGCAATGTTGTCTCCTATAGAGATGTCCTTAAATATTTCTAAAGAAGTGGTATTGTTTTTGCATTTCTGTACTTCTGTGACTCAGAATATGACTATGATTATTACTGAAGAAATAATACTTTTCTCTTATCAGGTATTCAAGTTGATCTATGCATGCCGCTTGGCTGAAGCAGGCCTGAGTGCTCAGGCCTTCCACTATTGTGAAGTTATCTCTCGGACTGTCCTCATGCAGCCCTCCTACTTCTCTCCTGTTTTCATTAGCCAAATCATACAGGTACACACTCACTCTCCTTCATGGTTTTCCCTCTGTACTTCCTTTACTTTGTCATAACAGATACGCCACAAACATTTCATTTTATGCTTTTTGATGACAGATATCGGAAAAGCTGCGGTTCTTTGATCCTCAACTGAAGGAGAAACCTGAGCAGGAGCTGTTCAATGAGCCAGAATGGCTGATTCACCTCAGACAGCTGGATGGACAGATCAGGGTAAGGAAGAACAAATGTATATATCTTCATATGTGCTGCAAAGAATATTCAAAATAAATCAAATAGTTTTTGTAGCACTATTTAGAGTATAGGCATTTGGACTGAAGATGTTGGCCAAGTACAACCCCAAATCAGAAAAAGTTGGGACGGTTGCACTTTAGAGCCAGTAATGAGGTAAAACATTGAAATGATGACTCCATTTGAAACAGGTGATGTCAACAGGTGATTGCAATCATGATTTGGTACAAAGGAAAGGCCTGGTTATTTAGGGGCAAAAATGGCCAGTTTGCCAACATATGTGTGAGAAAATTATTGAAATGTTTAAAAACAGTGCTCCTTAAAGAAATATAGGAAGAAATGTAGATATGTTACCCTCTATGGTGCAGAACATAATTAAGATTCAAGGAATCTGGAGGGATTTCAGTGTGTAAAGGACAAGGGCGCAAGCCTAAGCTGGATGACCGTGCTCACTGATCCCTCAGACGACACTGCATCGGGAATCATCACTCTTCTATAAATGATATAACCACATGGCCTCGGGATTACTTTGGCACAGCTGTATCAGGCACTACAATACTTAAAACTGTACTGTTCCAAAAGGAAGCCCTATGACAACAGTGTCCAGAAGTGCAGTCGACTGTTCTGGGCCCCGAGGCATCTGGGATGGACCATCACACAGTGGAAATGTGTACTGTGGTCAGATGAATCAGTATTTCAGGTCTTTTTTGGAAGGAATGGACACCGTGTGATCCAGACCAAAGACGAAGAGGACCATCTGTTACCAGCAACAAATCCAAAAGCCAAGGTCTCTCATGGTCCGGGGTTGTGTCAGTGCCCTCGGCAAAGGTCACTTTCACTTCTGTGATGGCACCATTAATGCTGAAAAATACAGATTTTGGGACGGCGTGCGCTGCCTTCAAGATGACATTTTTTCCAGGACGCCAATGCATATTTCAAAAAGATGATGCAAAACCTCATACTGCCACATTACCAAGGCCTGGCTGTGGAGGAAAAGGGTGCGAGTGCAGGACTGGCCTGCCTGCAGTCCTGACCTGTCCCCAACAGAGAATGTGTGGCACATTTTGAAACACAAATTATGTCAAAGAAAACCCAGGACTGTTTCACACCATAGGACTTGTACGGGAGGAAAGGGACAAAATGACACGACACACTTAGTCACTTGGTGTCCTCAGCCCCTAAACATCTTTTAAGTGTTGTGAAAAAGGAACGATGAGGTATCACATCAAATAATGTGCTGCTGTTTTGTTTTCAATGTAATACCATGGCAAAGATGACTTACACATCAATTTTTGCAGTTGTAGTTTTTATTTGGCATACCATCCCAACTTTTTTCTGATTTGAGGTTGTCCTTGGTCCCTTTAAATTTTAAAGCATTTAAGAAAAACTTGGTGTAAACATTTCTTTTGCTTATTGATTGAAATTCCTAATAATAATAATACTTGACAATTTGGACAGTTAACTTGATCTGATTGTGTAATTGAATCGTATATTTTAAACATTCTTGGTAATCCATGCCCATGTAACAAATGTTTAATTCTTGTTTCTTTATTAGACAGGGGTGATTACGTATAATACAAACAGAACAACTCCTACACAGTTTGACTGTAGCACCCCCAGCTCTGACTTGGACCAGCCCAGTCCACCTGAACCTTACAGCATGCCGCTGGAGGTGGATGGCCCCACCCCTGACAACCCACTAATGAGCTCATTACTGCCCGGGCCTCCACCACAGGGAGTACAGCTGATGCCTCCAGGTGTGTTTGAAGCTTATGCTCTTCTGATATCCTTTGTACGCTCTCATGGCTGAGCCATTATAAAATGCATCATATCTCACCTCTTTTAATTTCTTTCAGCTCCCACCTCCATCCTCCAAGATGGGATGGGCCCACATCAGCCTTTACCCCACAGTGATGTGTTCCGGTTCTACCCAGTACCCCCAACTGGGCCACCAGGCCAGATCCCCATCTCAGGCTACCCTCCACAGGATCCTGGCTTTGCACCTCCTCCCTTCCAGCCTCAACTTGAGCAGTCAGGCATTTATCCAGGAGCCCATCAGCAGCCACATCCCCCACCTCTTCAAGTGGGCCAAATGTCACCACATATGCCCCCTCAGGTGCAGCATTCACCTGTGCAGATGAACCACCCGTCAGCCCAGACACCTACACACATGCCCCCTTCTCCTGGGCATATGCCGTCTGTAGACCAGTCGCTCCAGGGCCCACCAGACATGCAGACAGGTCAGCCCATATCATCCTCCCCACGCAGAAGCTCCCTCACACCTCAGATGGATTTCTATGACCGCATGGCTCACATGGTCAGTATAAATCTGAAATGTTTTCTTTTTTTTTTTACCCAAATTCACAAGTCTCTCCATAATTTTTAAATTGCTGTTGTTATGTGTTGCTGTTCAAATCATTAGGAAGATGTTTACTACATTGTCTTTTTTTAACAATTCAGGGATCTGGGAGGAGATCTAGGACTACTTCACAATCTTCAATTCACATGGTGCGTTTGTGTATCACGTATAAGCTAAAATACTTTGTCTCATGGTTCTTCTCTATAATCTGTCCAGGACTTGTTTGTATAAGCACTTGTTTTCAGAACTGATACAGAGCAGATTGTTTTGGTCATGTGCCCAGAAAGAGAGCATCCGGTACATCGCTTTAGATTATTTGAATGCTTTGATACATGTAGTTCAGCAGCGAGAAAGCACCCTGTCCAACCAACTCTGTTAAGTATTTTTCAAGATCAGTCCATTGTGACAGCAGTAAAGACAATGGCATATGGTAATAAATATCCTCTGTATGTTGGAGAAAAGGGAATGCATGACATCTGTCAGGCTCTCTCATTACATGAGGCTAAACAAAGGTGCTCTACAGGATCCAGGACGGCGATCTCGCACCACCTCCGAGTCTTCCACTCACTCTGGAGGAAGAGAACGCAGTAACTCGGCCATCAAGCAGGTCTCTCCACCTCCGCCTTCAATTCCTGAACAACCCCACAAAGAAGAGGCCAAGAAAGTCAAGAAAGACTCCCCGAAAAAGGTTCCTATTCATAGATAAGCATTAAGATCTTCAATCTGTGCTCCTACGATGTTCACTAGTGTTGAGTGAAATTTTTCCTTTCTTTAACATGTAGAGCGGTGGTGGTGGCTGGCTGAACTGGCTCTATAGGAAGGGGAGAAATGAGGCTCACTTGCCAGATGACAAAAACAAATCAGTAAGTTACAGCACTTATGAGCAGGTAGCATTCCTTGATATCCAGCTTCATTTTTTGCCCAGGTTCTATTATCCTTTTTTCACGTCAGCACCAGAGCTGATACGAGTGCTATGTTCTTTATTTCCAGATTGTGTGGGATGAACAGAAACAGAGATGGGTCGACTTGAACGAGCCTGAAGAGGAGGTCTGTAATGGTTTAAAAATTGGTCTACAAGACAGAATTGTATTTTTTTTAAGCACCCACTGAAGGTGAAAGCTTTATAGATCAACCAATTTTGATGTATGGCTGTCTTATCTGTTAGAGTAAGCCCCCTCCACCGCCTCCCTCTGGCTTCCCCAAGATGACTCAGATGCCTGGTTCCGGAGGGCCTGCTGCACCCCCGAGTGCTGGTCCTCCTGTCAACATGTTTTCCAGGAAAGCAGGTGAGATGAGTGTTATTTGCTGTGGCTTCACAAACACCTTGCATAAGAGGATTCAAGGCCAAAAGCTAAATAGTCACTGTTTGATCTGTTTGCACTCTGATATGTTTGTGTTCTCAGGCACAAAGAGCAGATATGTGGATGTTCTGAACCCCAGTAGAGCAGCTAAACCAGGCGGACTACCCCCTGCTCCCATGGACATCTTTGCTCCTCTGGCACCAATGCCCATGCCTGCTAACCTGTTTGTGCCTAGTTCAGGTGTTTGTCTTGTTAAAGTTTTCTGAAAGCAATTATATAAAATTACATCAACACGCTTGGTACTCCTGACTGTGGGAGATTGTTTTGTTTTGATTTTGAGAAGACAATAATTAAATATTTCACCTGTCCCTGGTGTAGCTCCTGACAATCAGCAGCCTCTGGAGGGCAGCGAAGGAGGAAATCAGGAGCAGAATTCACCGAACACCATCACTGCACCACAGGTATCGGTTAGTATTTCACGTTGTTTCTCTAATGCTAAAAATACGTTGTGTATTTAAATATGTACGAACATTTTCACTTGATTTTCATCATCACTTAAAGCCAGTCAAAGCTTAAGCTCCAATCATCCACATTCTCTTCTTTTGCTCTTTGTTCAGATGTTCAACCCCACATTGTTACCACCTGCTCCAGAGGGTCCTCCTGTGCCTGATGGCTCCCAGTCCAGCGAGGTGAGACAAACTGGTTCTGTCATGCCACCTCTGAAACCTGGTGCTTTACACCTAACAACCAGTGTGTGCTGTTTGCTTATCTGTCAATATAAATTAATGTTAGAGGTCATTTGAAAGAACATGTGAAAGCATGCATGTCACCAATCTTTCTTCATAATCATGCTAAATGCACAGCCTTGATAAAATGTAAAGATTTCTCTTCCATACGCTGTTAAAATCTAATTCTCTCCATGTCTGCTTTTTCAAGAACCTTCATTTTCTAACAGATTTATTTCTTTTCATTCTGAACTGGTAGATAGTGGAAACAGATCTAATCCCATGCATGGGAAATTATTAATATGGGTTTGTGGTTTTGTTTTCTTTCCCCTCTACTGTTTATTTCCCTCCTGCCCTCTTTAGCTCTCACGTTCTAGCTCAATGAGTTCTTTATCACGTGAAGTGAGTCAGCATTTAAACCAGGTACCTGTAGCTGGGACTTAAATGGTCCACTCTCACCCCCTGCCTGCTCACCCACCCAGCTCACCACAGTAGCATGCTTTACCATTTGCACCAGCTTCACCTCCCAACCAAACCAAGATGTCTGCCTGCTCATCTGACTGCTGTCTCCAGCATTATTAACTTGGCTCTCTGTTATGAACAACCAAGTGACCACAGAGAAGTTCCTGATTTTTTTTTGCTACGCTAGCAGCTTGACTCTGTATGGCAATGCAGAGGTTGCTTAGTCAATGACAGTGGTCGAGACTGAAATATCTCAATTATTGGATTGCTGTATACTGATATATATATATATATACTGCTGTATATTTCGTTCTGTTTATATTAGTGAACAATCTGCTTCACCTGAGAGATGCTGGGTACTTCGAGTCAAAGCTCAGAGAGTGAAGCATGCTGGAGACGGCTGCATGATGACTCCCTTGCTTGTTGTCTGGGAGCACGTCACTTCCTTGACCTGCCATAAAGCTTGCATGGTTACCAAAATAAGTGAAACAGTGGTCTGTAATGCTGTCTCATGGTGGATCCAAGTCCGCTTTGCCATTATTTCCCACTTCAGTTTTATAATGTTGTCCGAACATTGTGTGACATTGGGAGTGAGGCCTCTTCTCAGTCTCTGCCTGTAGAAGTAGGTCAACGGTAACCCTGCACACACTGTAGTAACTCTGTCCTTTGCAGAGTCATCCTGCACAGGGAGCTGCACCCACAGGAGGCATCACCTTTTATAACCCTGCACAGTTTGCACAGGTGAGGATTATAATAAGAAAATAAAATAACCCATTGTCTTGTGCCATTGTGTATGGTGCCCTCATTTTTCTTCCCTTTTCTAGACAAGTGCGCCATCAGGAGGGGGTCTCCGCTCTGGTCGTTTGGGCGGTCAGCGCCAGTACCCAGTGATGAAGTAATCATCATCCTGCAGAGAGACTGTGTAAACAGACTTGTTGGATAGATTGATATCCTACCAGGAAGTAAATGAAGCACATGTTCATACTGCTCTCTGTCGTAAGGACCCTTCTTTTTGCTTAAATCTAAGAAGAGCATAATCGGTCTCCCTCGTGTCCATCTTTGTCAGACAACTTAACCACTCTGTGATCTTTTTCTTTAGTTCAACAGTTGTCACTGGTTTTAACAGGCATGATGTTTCTTTGAAGGGCTTAGTCTTGCATCCAAAACAGAAAGCAGACAGTTAAATGATGGATTTTAACACATGGAAAAGCATATCCATGGATCCATTCACACACATCCTGTATGATAATGTAGGTATAATTTAGTGTACAATAAATATGTTGCTCCTCAATGCCAGCTTTTCTTCAAATGCTGCCCTGTTAACACTATGATCAACCCAGGTCTTGTTGTAGGTTTCCCTTTCTGTCTGAAGTCCAGATGTCCATGTTTGACTGTATGTGTGATGGCTAGAATGAAAGTGGTGCCTTTTAATTTTATGTTCTTATAATGGGCTTGTACGTGCATTTGTAGCTATTCTGTGTTCTGTCAACTGGAGGCAGCGTTTTGTGTGAGAAGTAGCACATTGTCTGCTGTGTTTGCTTTTTTTGTTGCCCTCCAGAAAAGGAAGGATGCTGGACAACACAGGAAAGAGACTCGTAATTTCTTCACAACTTAAGAGTTGGAAGAAGTCTGCAGTGTTGGGATGCTGCTCTTTCCAGATATTTATTTAAATGTCCTGCTGCCCGTCAGCAACTCTTCACTTTAAAGATACATCAGGGGCTTTTGTCCAACTTAGGTTTCAATTTCTCCTCCTTGAAATTTGGCAGTGTCAACAGAGTGAGGGGTGGTCTTCAGAACGGCAGGCATCATGATAAAAACTGCATTTTAAATGTCATTAAAAATAAATCTATCCAAATATTTGTATATCAGATTGATTGTATTTATGGGATGCAGGCATGAAATTGTGTGTGTGTGTGTGTGTGTGTGTGTGTGGAGAGCAACTAACTTTTTCTGATTAGCTTTGACAATATGCATTTATGATTCACCAGAGATAACATGAATTCATATTCCAATCATTTGTAATGCCCTCTTCTCCAGCAAATAAATCTTTATCTAAATTGTGAAATGAGAGATAATTGTACTCTTAAGTACTTCCTTGTTTTTATTTACTTTTTTTTATTCAGTCATTTGTCATCCCAAATGTTATAATGATTTTGTAGACATCGGGTTATGATTTTAAAAAGTGTAAAATTCCTCATGTAAATCTCATGACTTAAAACCATAAATAGAAAATATCAAGACCAAATGGTATTAAAGGTATTTTTGCACTCAGTAGCACTTTGAAAGAGATGTCCTCTGGTTTTATCCATTAGAAACACTTTCATTTAGAAGGTTAAAGCTGTCTTTCGGCAGGTATGTGTATCTGAGGAAAGTCTACCTGTCAGTTGAGCCTCGGCAAGGTAGACTTATGTAGTAGATGAAATGCTGTGGCCAGGTAGCCAGGAGTGTTTGGATGGCTGATGAGGTGATGGAGCAGATTTACAGTTAAGTTTTTCATTTTATTTCGACCTAATTTACATACAAATTAATGCAGGGCAACGATTAAAAACCTTAATCGAGTTAACTACATGATTTTTCTGAGATTAACAGCGATTAACAGCGATTAACTGCATTGATATGAGCAGCATTCAATAATGAATTCCAAAGTAGTGTATTGCGCACTTTTATTTTAAAAGTACCACTATATGAACAATAACATTTGGTTTGCAATTACTTTAAACAAATAAGGTTATTTTTAACAGAAGCATTCCCTTTACACAGTAGCAAGCAAATCTCAAACAATGTAATCAAATCAAATTTAAAACCAAAGCTATTTGCCACTGCCAGAGCATTAATGTTTTATTTAGTTTGTTATAGAAAAACAAGTTATCCTCAGAGTCCAGAGCCACAATCATAACACTATAACAGGCAGCAACATTTATAAACCTGTTTTCTTTCTTTTTTCTGAACAGATACCAGCAGAAACATTTTTTCCTAATCAGGGAGCAGCATAAACAGTCAATGTTCAGTAGCAAGTGTCCCTGTTAGAGTGAGGTGAAGTGGAAGAGCACAAAAAAAGTACACAGCTGGGATTTACTGTTTAGGGGACTTATTCCTACTCCTCTACACCAAGCCATTTGCTCAGACACACAAGGTCATTTACATTTTCAGATGATAAAGAAACTCTCTTCTTCTGTACAATATGACCAGCAAGAGAAAACAACCTTTCACAGGGTACGGATGTTGCAGGTGTGGCCAAGTATTTCTGTGCAATGGAGACCAGCCTGCTGTGTGAGCCTGCATGTTTGGACCACCACTCTAATGGACAGACCTCTGTACTGATGGTGGGCTCCGCTCTGTATTGTCGCACACTGTTCTCATCTGAGTCTTCTTCCTGTTCAGAATCAGACTCTGATGAAGCAGCCAATAAAACTTAACTTTTTCTTTGGTGGCTCTGATGTTGTTGTTTCCACAGGCCCACACCTCACCCCTCTGAGCTCTGGGTATACACTTGAGGTCCTTGAATCTTGGGTCCAATGGGTAGCAATCTTCAGATATGCAATGTTGGCACGTTCCTTGCACGTCTCCAGGTCTGTTCTGAATGTTGACTTGAATTTGACCACGTAGGCAGGGTCCTCATCCGAGGTCTCCATCACCCAAGAGAGATGGCAAAAAGCAGGCAGAACCACAGAGCATGAAACGTATTTTTCTCCTCCCAGAAGTTCAGTCACATACCTGTAACAGAAAAAAAAAATCAAACCAATTTCAGTCAAGATGTATTGCATTCACTTACTTATATACACACAAAAATGTCCTCTATATATATATTCATGCTATATTTACACAGACATACAGAAACTCTATTTGTCTCTCACATGCACTCAGACAGGACAGTGAGAAATATGTGAAGTAAAATATACCTGCAGGGCTCCAGTAGCGTTTCCAAGCTCTGCAGTTTGTTTTAGCTGTAGTTGGCATGTCAATCTTGGTAGTGTGTGTGGTGAGGACATCCCTCAGTGGCTGTTCATTTTTGCAGACGCTTTTTGTCATGTCCAGAGTCGAATTCCATCTGGTTGGAATGTCTTGTATAAGCGACTCCTTTTGTCCATGTTCAGTTTGTTGTTCTAATTCTGCAGCGCATGCTGGACTGTGTTTAAAGTGGCCCACAACCTTTCTGCATTTGGTGGTTTGTACGTGCAGTTTGCAGATGGTAATGATGGCACAGGAAGTGAAGCAGAATCAGGCTGCAACCGAGCTTGAAATGGATTGGCTGGACATCAGAGGAGAAGACGGAGAGGAGCTCTACCAGGTGGCCACCAAGTGAAACTGCAGGAGGATGAGCTGATGCCGGACAATGGATGACATCACATCACATCTTCATATATTCACATTACAGATTAATCAATTACATATAATCATGTTTTACACATTTATTATCCAATCATTCATATTACTCAGTATTTTCATTTAATCATTTTCATTTTGTTTCAGCAGATTATTGCTTAAAATCTGGTGCGCACAGAATGATGTCATAGTTATGAGTAGGAGATTTTTCTGAGTATAGGTGTTTATGTGTAATGTATCTATATGACAGCATGTTACAGTATGAGCAACAGTAAACATTACAGAGTATTTACACACTAGTTTAAGCACATTACTCATGTTTATGATCTATGTGTTATACTTTGAGTCTCACTATGTCTGTTGTCTGTTTGCTCTCAGATCCAATGCAGGCCCTTGTTGGCGATCGCCCACGAAAAGGCATCGAAGACGTTGCCTGGGGGTCACTCGGGAATTTTCCTTTACCAGAGAGAGTCAAATGAATGACTCAAATGACGCCAATTTTACAAAATTAATGTTTGTAAAGGTTTTTCGCCCGAGTCTGCATGTTAAGTCTTGATAGAAAGATCTGTGTTAAGTTGTCAGGAAGTGTTTGCATTGAAACTGTTTGTTTTACAGTACAGACATGTGTATAATTAAAACTGTGTTGTTATGTGTGGGGGACAGAAGATCACCTGGTCGGTTATTCTTTCTTTTCTATGACTGTTTATTTTCAGTGTGTTATATGTTAAATGAGGATTAAATTAGAAGGTTGTGGAAATTAGAAATTAGAGTAGAGAATTTTGCCATATTACAGTAGTACTCCTTGTGCTTACGAGCATGTTTTTTAGAGTGTAGAGAGTTGATTTATTGTAGAATTGCTCTGTTAGATCAAAGAAAAAAGTTTATCTCTGTAATGAAGAGTTGATCCCTATTTTCCTTTTGGATGCGGTAGGAAGATGATGTTTAATTAGTACTTTTGTAGTGTTACTTGAGCTTACTGATTAGTATCAGGGAGTGATAAATGATTTGTTTGAGGATTTTCAGTCAGGATTTAGAGTCCATCATAGTACAGAAACCGCATTGGTGAAAGTCACCAATGATCTTCTCCTAGCCTCAGACAAAGGACTTGTCTCCATACTTGTCCTCTTAGATCTCAGTGCTGCTTTTGACACCACTGATCACAGCATCTTACTGCAGAGACTTGAACATGTTATTGGGATTAAAGGAACTGCACTAAGTTGGTTCAAATCTTATTTATCAGAAAGATTTCAATTTGTTCATGTCAATGACAAATGTTCCACACAAACTGACGTTAGTCACAGCGTTCCACAGGGCTCTGTGTTAGGCCCAATTCTCTTCACTTTATACATGATCCCTTTAGGCAATATTATCAGGAAGCACAACATAAATTTCCATTGCTATGCAGATGATAC